GAGAGAGAAAAGAGTGAGAGGAGTGGAAAGAGAAGAGAGGGAGAGGAGTGGAGTAAGAGAGAGAAGAGAGTGAGAGGAGTGGAGAAAGAGAGAGAAGAGAGTGAGAGGAGTGGGAGAGAGAAATGAAAGAAGATAGAGAGGAGAAAAATAAAAAGTAGAGGACACAGGGGAGAGAGAGAGGAACCAGAGGAAGAAAAGGGAAAGAGAAGAGAATAGAGAGAGGAGGGAGAGATATTTGGGGAGAGGAAGGAAGGAGAACTGCTCAGAGCAATCTCAGAGATGGAGGAAGGCGATCGGAGAGAGGAGACGGGGAGGAGGAGGAAGTGATGGCGGATCGGAGGAGAAGGTATACAACCTCAGAAGGAGGGCGGGAAGGAAACTCGTCTCCACCTCTCACATCACTCTCTATATATACTGAGCTGTCTATTTTTAGCACAGAGCATCTAATACCTCCAGTCAGGGTGACAACTCAACACAAAATGTGAGCGGACCGAGAGCATCAACTCCACCCAAACTTGTGTCTCATTTACATGGCTTCTGACATGACAGTCATTCTACCCCAATGGATTTATCATCATGCAGATAATTGTGGAGGCCATGAGACAGTGACACCTTAATAATACCTTGTGGGAGGGGCAGAGACACCAACTACGGGAGGAGATCTCACCATATTGGGAGGGGCGGAGACACCAACTACTGGAGGAAATCTCATTGTGGGAGGGGCAGAGACACAAACTACTGGGGGAAATCTCACCATTGTGGGAGGGGCAGAGACACCAACTACGGGAGGAGATCTCACCATTGTGGGAGGGGCAGAGACGCCAACTACTGGAGGAAAGCTCACCATTGTGGGAGGGGCAGAGACACAAACTATGGGAGGAGATCTCACCATTGTGGGAGGGGCAGAGACACCAACTACGGGAGGAGATCTCACCATTGTGGGAGGGGCGGAGACGCCAACTACTGGAGGAAATCTCATTGTGGGAGGGGCAGAGACACATGCTACTTGGGGGAATCTCACCATAACTACTGGAGGAAATCTCATTAATGTGGGAGGGGCAGAGACTACTGGAGGAAATCTCACCATTGTGGGAAGGGTGGAGTCATGCTTTAATGTAGGTTATAAAGAGCAGAATTAGGTATATCAGTTTTTGGTGGCGTTATGTTTATTATGGGGTTGAAGATCAGTACCTGAAAAGAGGAAGTGTGTGATGACTAAACCCTATACTACATACAGACTTGGGTGGCAGGAAGCCGAGTGATAGGAAACAGATTTAGTAATTGAGAGGTATGTGGGGGTGGGGAGGGGAGATTGTCTGGCACATTTGTTTTTTTTCTGCACCCAAATAAAAGATGGCTTGTGTGCTCCCTGCTCATGTATGTACCTGATTGGCTCATTCAAATGCTTGCTCAGAGCTACATGCGAAATGTTAGGCATCCCCGGCAAGTCCATATCTGTGCACTAGACCTTCAGCTTCACAATCAAGGACAATTCCATGGACAGGAGGGAGGAGGTCCTGATCCCTCTATATAGACCTTTATTATCACTAGAGGGATCCCCAGCAGGAGGAAGGAGGTCCTGATTCCTCTATATAGATCTTTATTATCACTAGAGGGATCCACAGCAGGAGGAAGGAGGTCCTGATCCCTCTATATAGACCTTTATTATCACTAGAGGGATCCCCAGCAGGGGGAAGGAGGTCCTGATCCCTCTATATAGATCTTTCACTAGAGGGGTCCCCAGCAGGAGGAAGGAGGTCCTGATCCCTCTATATAGAATCACAATGAGGAGGAAGTGGTACTGAACATACTTGGGTCATACACAGATATATACTCAGACTTTTGGGGGGGGGACTCGATGGACCACTTGGTCTATTTCTGTCATCGCTCTTCTTGTCTCTTTGTTGCTATGGTGATAATTCATCTTTAGAAATATCGCATAACAGGAAATGAAGTCCCAGTATGACGTGATCTGAGCATCCGTCTAGGTCACGCTTATCGTGCCGCGCCCTATGACCACAGGTCTGCACACCGCAGATGTCTGCTAGTTGTGTGGAGAAGCTGATTCCCTTCTCTCCCATCCTATGTGTAAACCTCGGAGCCCCCGGGCTGCCGTCTGTATGTTACCTATCCACAGGCCCGGACACAGTCCGGAGACAGCACACGGGGCCCGGCCAACCAATGATGCTGTGCGAGCCGTGTTACTTGTTCTCCATGTTGGTGGACTGGCGTGAGATTTGTAAAATCTAGGTGTCAAGTACAGACTTGTAAATATGGAACAGCAAAGGGGGAACAATGTGAAAGTCCCATCAGTGAAGACTTTAACTGAATGTGCCCTGTGTAGCAGAGCGAAGCCTCGCTGCCATCTCCCCCCAGGTGGCTGCGGAGGGTCCTGTAGTTCTGCCTTATCTGTACAGCAGATGTGCAGACTGCGCTGTCTCCTGTGTCTTCAGCTTCCCTCCAGGGTCCCTGTGTGACAAGTTCTCTCTCCCCGCCTAAAACCGCACCAGGAAGTCACTATGACTGTTGTCAGCCTCTGCTGGTTGCTGCACAGTCACTGAGAAGTCGCACAGCCTGGGTCCACCTCTGCTGTCCACCTTCTCTGTGCACCTTGCTGTGCACCCCCTGTGTGGACCCCTCTATGCACCCCTTCTGTGGACCCCTCTGTGCACCCCCCTTTGTCTAACATCTCTGTGCAACCCCCTCTGCACCCCTTCTGTGGACCCCCTTTGTCTAACATCTCTGCACCCCTTCTGTGAACCCCTCTTTGCTCCCCTCTGTCCACCCCTCTGTGGACCCCTCTCTGAACATCCTCTGTGGATCTCCCTATATCCACCCCCTTCAGTCCACCCCTCTGTGGCCCCCAAGTGGACCCCCTCTTTGCACCCCTCTATCCAAGCTGTCTTTCTGCCCTTCTGTGCATCCCCTCTGTAGAGGTGTGTGTGCACCCCCTCTGTGAACCCCTTTGTGCACCCCCTCCGTAGACTTCTCTCTGCACCCCTCTATACACCCCTCTGTGCACCCTACTATACACCCCTCTGTGCACCCCTCTATACAACCCTCTGTGCACCCCTCTATACACCCCTCTGTGCACCCCTCTATACACCCCTCTGTGCACCCCTCTATACACCCCTCTGTGGATCCCTCTGTGCACCCCCCCCCCCTTGCACCCCTCTAATTCTGGATACACCCCGGGGCTGGAATGGCCGAGCAGGAGAGTCTGGAGTTCGGCAAGGCGGACTTTGTGCTGCTGGATAATGTCACCATGGAGGAGTTTATGGCCAATCTGAAGCTCAGGTAATGTAAAGAGGTTTTCTTCTATTATGTGCAGATGTCATGTGATCTGCGGCGTGTCCCTGGACGGACTGGACGCGGGTACTCCCATTGCTCAGCGTCATTGTCTTTGGGGGATAGAGACTTGGGTGGATGGTGTACTGGTTCCTTGCCGTGCTTTCCATGGTGACTGGGCGGAGATGGTAGATTGCAGAAATTCACCGAGAAACAGAAATGAAATGACTTTCCTGAGTTTTATGGTGATGTGATGTGAAAGTGAAATAAGACTTTGTTAAAGGTGAAGTTTAATCAGTTTATGTTTTGCCTTTCTTGGTCCTATAGGGGTGTGTCATCATCCTATGGTGGTGTGTCATCATCTTATAGGGGTGTTCCTATGGGGGTGTGTCATCATCCTATGGGGGGTGTTATCATCCTATGGGGGGTGTTATCATCCTATGGGGTGTGTCATCATCCTATGGGGTGTGTCATTATCCTATGGGGTTATGTAATTATTCTATGGGGGTATGTCATTATCCTATGGGGGGGTGTCACCATCTTACGGGGGTAGGTCATCATCCCTTAGGGGTGTATCATTATCCTATGGGGGGGTGCCATTATCCTATGGGGGTATGTCATTATCCTATGGGGTGCGTCATCATCCTATGGGTGTGTGTCATCATCCTATGGGTGTGTGTCATCATTCTATGGGGGTGTGTCACCATCCTATGGGGGTGCGTCATCATCCTATGGGTGTGTGTCATCATCCTATGGGGGGTGATATCATCCTATGGGGTGTGTCATCATCCTATGGGGCGTGTCATTATCCTATGGGTGTGTGTCATCATCCTATGGGGGTGTGTCATCATCCTATGGGGGGGGTTTCGTCATCCTA